TGGAAGGTGCTTTAGTACGCGATTTGAATATTTTATTCAAGAAATTAAGCGAAACGCAAAACTGGGAGAAAACTGTACTATTTTGATTGAAATTTGATACGTATCTTTAATCGGTATTTCCAATGAGAATGAATATAGTTTGAATAGGAACGGGGAACCAGATGAAAAAAATACCATTACTTACGTCGTTCACCATAGGAAGAGATAACAGGAGAGAGAGAGAGAATTGAGAGAGATGTAGGAAGGGCAGAGAGAGAGGGGGGAGGGACATGCAGAGAGATAGACAGAGACAGAAACCGAGTTGTATATATATTTATATATTTATGCATTCATATGTGGAAAAGTATAACGTTCTTAATAATGCATTTTTTATAACTGTATAAATATGTTGTTTCTTTCATTACAGGTAAGGAGAAGGAGTCCGTTGATACAATGTCATAAGTAGGCGTATGAATGGGTAAGTGCATTCTGTGAAAAAGTTATATTTAGAAACTCCGCGTTGCTAATTTTAATTTTTGTGTCTTAGGTTCTCTGAACGTTGGAAATTTTATTATTTCATGCTCGACTTGTGAGGCGCTCTGTTGCTCTCTATCCCTCTCCCTCTCCTTCGTCCTCTCTCTGTAGCTCACTTTTATCTCTGTTTCTCTCTTTCTTTCTCTCCCTCTCTGCCACCATCACTTTATGTTACAGTCCATCTTCTCTCTCTCTCTCTCTCTCTCTCTCTCTCTCTCTCTCTCTCTCTCTCTCTCTCTCTCTCTCTCTCTCTCTCTCTTCCTACCTTCCTTCCTCCCTCCCTCCTTCCCTCCCTCCCTCCCTCCCTCCCTCCTTTCCTCCCTCCCTCCTTCCCTCCTTCCCTCTTTCCCTCCCTCCCTCCGTTCATTTTCCCTTTACACCTGCAACCTGTGCTGTGCCGTAAAGCTGACGCGGGGATCCAATACCCTTTCATATTTCATGTCGTAATGCCTTAGATTCGATACTTACAATTAATTAACATGGAAATTCACGGGGCTTATTGCAACCTTACACTAATTACTGGTGAATTAGGGTCGTTTGCCCGCCGGCGAATTTCATATAAGGGTGACGGGAGTGCTGGTTACGGGCGAGGCAAGGGGCGAGATTGATAATTAATCGCTTTTTTTTCCTTCTTCTTCTTTCTCTTGGATGTATTTTATGTCTTCTGTTTAGTTTTTTTTTTCATTAATATGGGATATTATTTTTTTTAGATTTGAAGTGTGCGCATGTGAATGTGTGTGTGTGTGTGCGTGCGTGCGTGCGTGTGTGTGTGTGTGTGTGTGCGTGCGTGCGTGTGTGTGTGTGTGTGTATGTGTGTGTGCGTCTGTGCGTGCGTACATACATGCAAGTATATATGAGGGTATTTGAATCCGAAAATGCGTTTATCAATGTTAAATTATTTTAACTTTCATTTTTAACGTACTCATCAATATGATCACGGTAATGCACTACAATCATAATGAAGAGTGCATTAGAATTATCATAACAGTGATTATATTATAGTTAAAAGTTTAAACTAACAAAATATGCAATAAACGCATTTTCGAGGTATTAGCCTGAAAACACCCTTGGACTTGCATGCCTTCAAATGTATGTAAAGTATTTATATCTTAATATACAGCTTAATATAGAAGTCAAAGTGGCAGTTTTCGCATGGGTAACCGCAAAGCGAGATTGCTCAGTGACATAGCGGCCAAGGCGGACAAAAGGCGGGACAAGACAGGGTGCCAAATAACACGAAGCCGAGCACCATTCAGCTGGAACCACGCGGGAATTGGCACCGCGAAGTACAGCCGCGACCGCGTGTTCCCAATCTAGTTGAGAAATGGACAGGCACGACGAGACCAGGAATGGGTTTGTTAACAGGTATCCTCGCGACGGAGATGGTGCCCGCCTGCGTGTTTCCTGAAATTAATCAGCCGTACAAATCAAGTCGCAGAGAGTGATTGCGACGCCAACCCAGACCCGAGATGCTCGTGGAAAGTGCTGCTGCTGCTACGTGGCGCGGTTTCCGGACCTTGCGGGGAGATTTCTTCTTTTGATCTCGTTTCCTCACCCTCTCTCACTCTCGCATCCCTTCTCCCATTCTCTTATTCGCATAGTCTTTCTCATTCTCACTCGTCGTTAGATTCTAATTCTCTTTCATTTCCTCTCTCTCTCTCTCTCTCTCTCTCTCTCTCTCTCTCTCTCTCTCTCTCTCTCTCTCTCTCTCTCTCTCTCTCTCTCGTTCTCACATTTTCTCTGCCATTTCCACGGCTCTCCCTTTTTCTCATTCTCACACCCTTCTTCTGTCTACACCTTCTCCACTCTTTCTCCTCATACCCCCATTTCCCTCTCCCTTCTATCTCTCTCTACCTACCCTATCTACTTCTTTTACTGTCCGCCGTCTTCCTTCGGCCCACATGAAAAGGGAGATGACAGCAAGCAGAGATGCAAAGTGTTCAAGCAGAAGGAGGGCCAACGGGCTCGGGTCACGCCAGGGGACCACCAGCTAGAGAGGGTGGGGAGAGAAAGGTCGTCTTGATGTGTCCGGTGCCTGTCTTAGGATGAAAAAGTACGGTAAAACTCTCTCTTTGTGGTGCGAGATGCGTTTGGTAGAAGTTCGGGTAATTATGTCTATGTATACGTTGATTCTTCCAGTTAAAGGACGGATCTGGAAGCGATATGTTCAGATATCTCTCTCTCTCTCTCTCTCGGATCCTTGCAGATGAGAGAGAGTTTGTTCCTTGCATTCTTGTAAGTTGCTATCCACTCGTCTCTCTCTCTCTCTCTCTCTCTCTCTCTCTCTCTCTCTCTCTCTCTCTCTCTCTCTCTCTCAATCTCCCTCCCTCCCTCCCTCCTTCCTTCCTCTTTCTCCCTTTCCCTCTCCGTCATCATCCATTCTTCTCCCTCTGTCTACCATCTCCTTTTCTTTCTTTTCCTTGCCTTCCTCACCCTCTCTGTTTTCAGCCTTCCACCCCTCTATCTTTACTCTCATTCTTGTTCCTCCTCGTGATTCCATCTCCTGAAATTGACCATCAAAACCTTTCATAAGTTTCATCCGGAAATTCCCCCGACTAAGGGCGAATATGAAACACCCTCCATATTTTCCAACATGCAACGTTGGCGAAAGAAAAAAAAAAGAGAGAAAGAAATAAGAAGAAAAAAAAATACACACAAACAAACAGACTATAGAACTGGAATTCATTTCTATCCACTGGAAGATAGATAGAAAGGTCCTTGGCCGTTTTCCTAGAAGGCTCTCCAAGGCCATTTACTTTGGTCCCAAAATCTTAGACGAAGGAGATGATAATGGCTTCCCGAAACTCTTGGCTTGGTCTCGGGAGCGAAATCCTTGGATGCGGAAGGTGTTGCATGATCTGCTGCAATGCTAATGGTAATAGTTCTTCTTAATGGTGTTACAATTACTGTTGTTGTTGGATTTGTTTTCATTGTTATGAGTCAGTTACTGGCGTTGTTATTATTATTATTATTATTATTATTATTATTATTATTATTATCGTTATTGTTATTCTTATCGTTACTATTATTATTATGACAATTATTTATGATATTGTTTTTATCTTTATTTTTTATCATTGTTATTATTGTTATTATTATTATTATTATTATTATTATGACTATTATTATTATTATCATTATTATCATCATCATCATCATCATCTTCATCGTCATCTTTTTATAATTATTGCTATCTTGAGATCAACATCACCGTCTTCATCTTCATGATCGTTATCACTATTATTATTATGATTATTTTTGTTGTTGTTGTTGTTATTATGATAATCATTATCATTGTTGTAGTTATTTTAATTATTAATATTACAATCATTAACATTATTATTATTATTATTATTATCAATGTTATTATATATATAATAATAATAATGATATTGTTATCATTATTACTATTATTATTATTATTATCATTATTATTATTATTATTATTATTATTATTATTATGATAATTATTATTTCTATTGTTATTATCATCATCATTGTTGTTGTTTTGTTGCTATTATTATTATTATCACCATAGTAATAATTGTTATTTTTATTATAATAATTTTTGTGGTTTTGTTATTATTATTATTACTTTTTAATACTATTATTGTTATTATTACTACCATTACTACTGTTATTATTTTATTACCATCATCACCTTCATCATTATCATCATTACCACAATTATTATCATCACTCATTGTCTTTTTTTTGTAAAAATACCACCATTTGTTACCATCGCAGTTCCTATTGTTGTATTGTTGCAGTTATTATTAGCCTTCTGTTCGAGCGCTGTGCGTAAGTCTTTCATCCTGTTGGCGATCACGCTGCTTTAGATTAAATCCACAGACTAATGTATAATAATTCCCTCACTGTACCTCACCATCCGTCATCATCAGCCTGACGTCACTGCCACAGCAAGATCAGGCCCGTATGGCTCTTCGCCCACCGTGATTGTATTGCAACATCTATTAAATTTGCATACATAACGGGGGGGAAAAATGTAACGTAAGAACTCTTAGCATGTGAGATTAAGTAAATCGGATTTTTTTTTTTCAATGGTAATGAGTTGCCTCGTCTCTTTTTTTAGGGATGCGATCCTGCAACTGCAAAGAGTTTGTTCGTGTAGCTGCAAGCGTTGAGGGGAAAAGGGACTTCCTGATTATATTACTTGTTGCATATAGCACGCCTACCTGTTGTGCAAAAAAAAAGAAAAGAAAAAAGTTATTACAGTCGCAGTCAAGTGCAGGTACAAGCTGAACAGGTGAATTACGCGAACGGCCTTGTTCTCTGACGAACGGCGCGCGAGCTACAAATCCCCGCTTGTCCACGTCCGGGCGGCGCAGGTGAGGCAGTGGGTCGTTCGTTTAGCCTCTCCTCC